TGTCTGCATCATCTAGCTTTAATAATCCTATTGAATGGAGCTCATTGATAATTAGATTAATCGAGAATACATATCACGAACAAGCTCATCATCATTCATAGCAAAGGAATCATAATTTTGCTTGGCTAGACAATGTTTTTGCTCACGGACATTACTTGTGTCGTCATGGAGCTCTTGGAGTTTTAACCAAATTTCATATGCCGTATTTAAGGTGAACACTTGGTTAAACACATCCATGCTAAAGGATTCAAACAAGCAATTCTTAGCTCTAGCATTGAAATGCATTTCTTTTTCGTCACTCTTTGTGGGTTTTTCGAGATTCTTGATGGGTTTCATCCCGTCACGAGTGACTCTCCATACACCCAAATCAACCATCTCAAGGTGGCAAGCCATTCTAGCTTTATAGTATAGGAAGTTAGTGCCGTCAAATTGTGGAGGCCTTGTGGATCCATCCCAACCACTCTACAATAGCGTCGGCTCAATGGCGGTTAAGCCAAGGGTCCAAATATGAGCCAACCGGCTCTGATACCAATTGAAGGGACCGTGACGCCTAAGAGGGGGGGGTGAATTAGGCAACTTAAAATTCTAACTCTAAACTATGGCCTCTTTTTCTAACCCTAGCAAAACCTATGTAATAGAAAGAAATGGATGTGCAACTATGGTTTTGCTAGTATGTTGCTATCTCTACCGCAAACGTAGTAAAGTAATCAATATAAATGTGGAAGCTAAAGAGCAAGGTAGAGATATGCAAACTCCCGTCGACGACTCCGGTATTTTTACCGAGGTATCGAGAAGCGCGCAAGCTTCCCCCTAGTCCTCGTTGGAGCCCCTCGCAAGGAATCCCTCGCAAGGGCCAAGCTCCCGGTCGGGTAACTCCGTGGATAGCCTCGGGCCTTCCCCACGCGCAAGTGGGTCTCCGATGTGCCTCTCGGCAAGCCTCTCCCGGATGCTCCCCGCCGTCTTCACTATCAAGCTTCCGGTCAAACGCATGGGCCTTGTTCCTCTCCAGACACGGTGGCGGCCACACCACAAACGCGGTTGGTGTGATCTCGCAAGACTTCAAGCCCCTCCGATGTACAACACTTGTGCTCACAAGCACGGGGTGGCAAGAGGTATGCAAACCTCACTTAAACACTAGGCAAACACCTAGAGCAAGCGCATAAGCGGTGGTCTAATCAACCTAAGCACTTCGCAAAGCACTTATGCTAATCACCTAATAAAACACTAAGTACTATGCATGTGGAGATCACTCAAATGGTGTATCAACACTCTTGGTATGTTTCCTCAGCTCCACTCACCTCAAATGGCCGGTTGGGGGTTGTATTTATAAGCCCCACTGAGAAAGTAGCCGTTGGGGTCGAACTCCCGCAAAACTGCTGCTGACCGGACGCTGAATCGTCCTGACCGGACGCGTCCGGTTGTTCCGACCGTTGAACTGGCAAAACACTGATCGGACGCTGTCCAGCGTCGGGTCTCCTGCCACCGGACGCGTCTGGTCGCAAATATGCCGCTCTAGAACCTTACTGTACCCGATCGGGCGCTGCGTTCCTGCGTCCGGTCGGTTGCCACCAGCGTCCGATCCTCGCGTCCGGTCGCCTGTCTGCCGAGTCTCCACCCAGCATCCGGTCACAGCGTCCGGTCGCTTGTCCAGCGTCCGGTCACCACTGTGAGCTCATTTCTTCGCGATCTCGCATATGGCTTGGTTCCAATCTTCATGCTTGGACTTTACTTGATCTCTTGGGTCTTCTCTTGTGCTCCTAAGGTCTTGCTTTAAGGTGTTGATCATCGGATCATCACGTCGCCTTCGTCCAAGTCACGTCTTGCACCCTATTGGACTACAAAACAAACACTTGCAAATTCATTAGTCCAATTTGGTTGTGTTGGTCATCAAACACCAAAATCCAACGTAAATGGGCCAAGGGTCCATTTTCCTTACAGTGAGTACATATCCATTTTAGGAAGCTATTCAGTTCTGCTTAATTGGTTTATCATGTCTTGATGGTGACTTACCCGTCGCTTTGTGTAAGCAAAATGTTGCATGCAACAAGTCAGCGACTAAAACAAAATAACAGAATTCCATTAAACTATATCGATCATAGACATATGTTATCTCAAAATAGCTATATATAACACAACCACCTATTCCTAAATATAGAGCTGAGTTGCAAGCTAAATAGGTGTCTCAGAGTGTGCATGCATTGTGGGTGTCTACGTTGTACTATGTAATTCTAAAAAAAAATATGTATCCCAGCTTAATGGTGGGAGGCCAACTCTAGGGTGGAGTTAGCACTCTCCCGCTATTTTTGTATCGGCAATGCTTTATTAGTCAGGGCGTCCGTTTGCCCAAACACTCCTTGTTGGGCCTGCGCGCTACCGCTATCGACCCAATGGGCATGCCTGCTCTCTACATCTTCTCATATCTCTCAAAAATATCTCCCCACTCTGCTCGCCCATCACGTGCTTCACCACACTGTGCGGCCATCCGCACACCACAATCCGCATCGCTGCCGCATCTCCTCACGTGTGCCCCCATCCCACACTACGTCACACCACTCTTCCTCGCCGTCGTGGCCATCTCCCCGCACGTGCACCCATCATGCGCCAGGCCGCTCACTCTGCCTCGCCGCCACGGCCATCCACTGCTGCGTCGCCCCACCGTACTTCACAGCCACGACCATCCACCGTTGTGCCCCACTCCGTGCTCGCTTGTCGTGGCCACGGCGTGCACCGCGCCACCACCACCCTAATGCCACCAGGTGAAGGTCATCGCCAGCCGGGACATCGTCTCTCGCGGTTGGCTGAAGACACCACGATAGGAAGAAGCGCATGTTGCAAGTGTATATTTCAAGTGTTTAAGATGTTTTAGAGATATGTTGCAAGTGGTGTATATGAATGTTGCAAAAGTAGATCGGGATGTTGCACATGTTGCAATAGCTATACATGTATGTTGCAAGCGTTTGTTCAAAATGTTTTATCTGTTTTTCAAACGTATATTGCAAGGGTTTTATCTAGAGATTGCATATATTTTCACACAAATGTTGCACGATATGGACCGCCAGAGTCACACAAGCACATCCGCATGTGGGGGTGTGAGCACGATACGAGCAGGTGTAGGTGCAAACGGTCCCTGTGTGCGCGATACGGAGCGGGAGAGCGGGTGTTGTAGGTAGGGCGAGGCATCCGGGCGATGCGAGCGCGGGTGGGAATTGAAGGAAGGCGCGGGGAACGGAGATATACGTGACATGGGGTGCAGGTGCGGGCATCTGTCCAGACATCTGAGACGCTAGCATCTCCGTTTTTTGTATAGCTAAAGCTCTTCTGAACAAGTCCTAAAGTGTAGCACATTGATAATTGATGAGCAAGAACTCCAAGTAAGCTCGTGAGATTTATCCTAGCAAGCCCGAGAGACACTTTTTTTTTCTTACCCAAAATCGACATGTCCTCCATTCCAAACATATCTAGCTTTTCCTTCCTCCAGAACCGAAAACATTTGATTTTGCAAAGTAATTACAACTATTTTACTTATAAAGGTACTTGCAACTTCAACCGATCGTACGACTTCTGCAGCTTTCGAGGTCAACGAAACATCAGCGAGGAGCCAAAGAATTTTTTTTTTTCTTCGCGTGGAACGTGCTGCCTCTTGTTGCATCGCTGTGCACTGCGTGATGATGGACAGTTGGACGCATGTTATTCAATCACAAAAAGTAATGCAGAGTCAAGCTCGGCTCTCCACCTTGCATGCTCCGGTAGAACACTGCTAACAACCACTCCTGGTGCCCTTGTCATGTGCCTGTTATTCCGCATCCAGATGCCTGCTAATAACTACTCCCTCTGTCCCAAATTATTTGTCATTTTTTGTTTTCGTACCATAAGTTTAACTTGATTCATAGAAGATACGTGTAATATTTGTATCTCCTAATAAATTTATTAAAAACTACATTCAAAGATCTTTCCAACGATACTAATTTTGTACCATAAATGTTAATATTTTTAAATATATATTTTGTCAAAATAGTTTCTCGGGAAGTAAAAACGACAGATATTTTGGGACGGTGGAGTATGTTTTCTGTAGTAGCTCTAAGCCTCACGTCCGTCCTTCACCGCTCCCAGTCCATCGGCACAGTCCGTCTCTACTTGACCATCTTCATTACCGTTGTTCGTCTATGTGCTCCACACCTGCACACACCAACACAGCCAAGGGACATGGTGCGCGCACACACGGAGTGGCTAATCTATAAACTCAGCCAGAGCCGGTCATTTTCTGACAATCACTCAGTACAATTCGACACAGAAAGGCACGTATCAACCATGTGTTCCTACAGTAACAAACAAATAATGGCATAATTCCTTTTTAAACGATATGTATCAAGCACTCACGTATGTTACTATGTCAAATAAACGGCTATCACACAACACAACCGCCAATTATTTTACTTATAAAATGTACTTGCAACTTAAACCTATCGTACGAATTTTACAGTTTTCGAGGTCAACGATACATCACGGAGGAGGCAGAGTTTTTACTTTTTAGTTATTTATTTTTTGTGTTGAACGTGCTGCCTCTTGTTTGCACTGCATGACGATGGACAGTTGGACACAGATTATTCAAGCAGACAAAAGAATGCAGACAGAGTCAACTTAGCTCCGGCTCTGCAGCTTGCCCCGGTAGAACACTGCTAACAACTATATTTTTCTTTGGGTGCCAACCACTGCGGATGCCCTTGTCATGTGGCTGTCATTCCACATCCAGAGTCAAGAGCAGGGGCTGGATCTGGACGGCGGGAGAAGGCGTGAAGCTCCCACTGTTCTGATGCTTCCCCGACGACGATCCCGACGACCTTCTGCTTGAGGCCAAGAGCACCAGGCGGGCATTCTCGATCTGGGTAGGCCTTCGTCCCTCTCTGTCCACGACATGCTGCTCACCTTGTCACCAACACAATCGTCCTCACTTACCAAGCTTCTGCGTGCAGGCGCCACCCACACCCATCGAGATTGCAGGCATGGAGCTGGTGGCGGGGGCGATGGGGAGCCTGCTCCCCAAGCTGGGCGAGCTGCTCAAGGAGGAGTACGGCCTGCAAAAGGGCGTGAAGAAGAAGATCGAGTCTCTCTCACGGGAGCTCACGGTGGTGCACGCCGTCCTCCGCAAGATCGGCGATGTTCCACCGGACCAGCTCGACGAGCTGGTCAGGCTCTGGGCGAGTGAAGTCAGGGAGGCATCCTACGATATGGAAGACATCGTCGACACATTCCTGGTGCGCGTTGAAGACCCTAACGAGGCTACTGAGCCACACATGCTCCGGCGCCTCCGGAAAAAGGTGGGCAGGCTGTTCAAGAAGAGCAAGGCTCGCCGCAAGATCTCTAGCCTAATAGATGACATCAACGAGAAGCTTGAGGAGGTGGCAACAAGGCGAGGCAGGTACACACTTGACAACATTGTCGCCAGCCCTGTAGCTGCAAACACCATCGACCCTCGCATCCTGAATCTATACAAAAGGGCGACCGAGCTTGTTGGCATTGAGGGACCAAGGGACGAGCTCATAAATATGCTGTCCCTAGGGGATGGCGACGTGGATCTGTCTAGTACTACAAAGATGAAGATCCTCTCTGTCGTTGGATCTGGAGGGCTAGGCAAGACCACTCTTGCCAAAGCTGTCTATGACCACCTCAAACCGCGCTTCGAGTGCCGGGCTTTTGTTCCAGTGGGTCAGAATCCTGATGTCAAGAAAGTCTTCGGAGACATTCTCATAGCCCTTGATGAACAAACTTACACTCGTCCCAAATTAACGGGTTTGGATGAAAATCAGCTCATGGGCAAACTCAACGAATTCGTCAAGGAAAAGAGGTACGAGCTAATATGATCACCGATTCATTAATCATTGCTACTCATCACTGGCTCACTGCTAAAAAATAATTATAGCCGCTTTTAGATTATGTAGCTGCACAATTATTGGTTCTTTATATCTTATTTATTTTAATAAAGGAAAGTGATGAAAGGAACATAACGAAATGGTGATATACGAATAAAAAAACTATAAATGGTGTCTCCTATATTTATTTACCATTTCTTGTACTGTCTTGTGAATATGTAGGTATTTGATTGTTATTGATGATATATGGGACAAGAAGACCTGGAAATTAGTCAGATGTGCTCTGCAAGAAAGTAATTGTGGAAGTAGACTTGTGATCACTACACGCATTTCTGAAGTTGCCGCATATGCTGATGAACCTTACAAAATACAACCACTTTCTCATGATAACTCTGAAAAATTATTGTACGCAAGAATAGTTGACAGTGAAGGGAAGTATTTCGATAGTCTTTCGGCTGAGACATGTGAAAGAATTTTGAAGAAATGTGGCGGCGTGCCACTTGCTATCATTACATTAGCCAGTTTGTTGGCTAGTAAACCAGGAGAGGACTGGTCTGAGGTCTACAACTCAATTGGTTTTGGGCATAAAGGCAATGATGACGTAGATAATACCAGAAGGATATTGTCTTTTAGCTACTATGATCTGCCTTCACATCTGAAGGCTTGCTTATTGTATCTAAGCGTATTTCCGGAAGATAGTATCATAGAGAAAAATAGTTTGATATGGATGTGGATAGCTGAAGGTTTCATCTCTGAGGAACAAGGAGCAGATGCAGGGGTAAGATCATTATTTGAGCTCGGGGAGAGGTACTTTAATGAATTGATAAATAGAAACATGATCCAGGCACAGGAGACACGACATGGAGGGTACGTTGATGCCTGCTCGGTTCATGATATGGTTCTTGATCTGATGCATCAATTGTCAAGGGAAAAATTTTTGTCACTGTATTGAATGGTGGTGAGCGACAGAAACTTCAGGGGAGCATTTCTCGCAGGTTAGCCCTACAGTGTGTTGAAGAGCACAACGTTGGCCAGCTGGCTAACATCGCTGTGGAGAAAGTGAGATCCATTTTTGCCAGTGAGTGTGATTTTTGTGCATTATGCCCACGCCTCCCATATTTACGTGTAGTAGAAATGGTAGGATGTTCTGTTTTCCACGAAGACTGCATCGAAGATGTGTCGGAGAATCATCTTGTGAGTTTACTTCACTTGAGGTACCTCAGACTAGAGAATATCAAAAAGCTGCCCGAGGTAGGATATTTGAGGTTTCTGCAAACACTGGATTTACGGGACAACTACATGAAGGAGCTGCCCGAGGAGGTGGGACTTCTGACGCAACTTGTTTGCCTACGATGTAGTTACCTGACAAGAGTGCCGGCTGGTTTGATCGGTAAGCTGACATCATTGCAAGAGCTATGTATATCGTGTGGAGGTGAAGGTGCTATAATAATGCAGTTTGTGAAGGAGCTGGGCCTGCTGAGGGAACTGAGGGTGCTCCAGGCTAATATTCGTGCTAGGGTCAGTGAGAGCATCGGGAGTGCTTTGCTGGACTCCCTGGGCCATCTGCACAATATCCAGGAACTTGAAATTTTGGTATACTACTCTCCAAATAAGGTCTGGGTGAGCAGCGATGCAGGACGGTTCTCCTGTCGGCATCTCCGGGTCCTGCGTTTGCACTGCTTTGGGTTTTCTGGACTGCCAGTGTGGATTAACTCGTCGCTTGCTCCAAACCTATGCTATCTGGATCTGCTAGTGGTAGCTGTGGAAGACCACGACATGGAAACCCTTGCCAAGTTGCCAGAGCTTAGTTGCCTCATACTGCATTTGACTGGCACCAAATTAGTTAGCATAAAGCTTCGTGCTGAAGGTGTTGGCTACTTCCGCAAGTTGAGATCCTTAAAGATACTCGGTTCATTTATCAGGTTTGATGTGTGCGGCGGCGAGTGCAACAGCAGCAGGGTACCATCTAATAATACTATCATGCCAGGTCTTGAATCCCTTGAGTTTGGTGTCCATGTGCGGTCCCTAAAAGACGAGAAGCTGCAGCTTGGTTTTGACAAGATGCTTGGCTTCCAGAACCTCGGAACAAGTTCGCTCCAGCGAGTCAAAGCCGAAGTGAACTGTCAAGGTGCCACTATTTGGAATGTGAAGGAAGCAGAGGCTGCATTGAAGCACGCGGCCGCAGTCCATCCAAAACATCCCACTCTTCTAACCAACAGGGTAGAATCACAATATATGATCGAGATCTCACGCTACCAAAAGGTATGATGAACTGATCATGCATGCACATTTGAACTTGCTTTCAAAATTCAAATGCTACTGGCTCTGATTTACTATTGCAAGCTTCCTATCTATCCTGTCTTTCTATCTGTATAATGGTCACAATAAAATGTTGATCTCATATATCCTCTCCTTTGAATTATTATTAGTCCTAGCTCAATCAGGTTCTCCTACACAGTATTCCGGGCAAGGGCAACATAGATTATCTAAATAAATAGTTAGTCCATATTAAGTAAGGGTGGGTGGGCCGTGATAGTTAACGTAAAAATTTCCCGATTGCCTTGTTCTCGCTTGCATTCATGTAGGGCCTGTTTGTTTTTGGCTCAGATTCATTCTGAACACCAACGGCTGGATCTTATGCCTATAGCTCAGATTCCGATCCAAACACGCAGGATTGCAGTGGCCATGCATGCATGTCACCGAGTTGGACGTGTTGTCTCACAAATGCCATAGTCTGCCAACCGGTTGGCCGTGTTTGCGTGGCTCAAAGCAGATTCATTCGTAACATTATGAATTGTGGTGTCTAACTACTAAAGGAACGTAATTAGAAATGCAAGGAAAAGCACTCAATTTTGGAATGTGTATGTTGTACATGTTTCTATGATGATGACAGGGAATTCATGAGTGGCCAGCCGAGTGTGCACGTGCTTTTTTTTTCTTTTTCCCAGCAGTTCAATATATTTGAATTTATTTGCTAACTGTATCGAACAAATGGTAGGCATGTATGGAAATGAGCAAAGCCCCTGAGTTAGTAACCAAGGCCTGGAAGTTGGCAGACATCGTTGGCTCAGGACAAATTCAAATTCTGCGTATGCCAGATCCGACGGCATCTTCAAGCAAAGTATGTTCAGCAACATTTGCATATACATCTTGCATTTAAATTAATGCAAGGAATATCACACATCAGTATCTGTTCGTGTGCTTATGATTTTCATGACATAGCACACACCGAACAATTCGGTAGAATTTAAGACTGTTATGGTCATATTCAGAGCAGTATATAATTCTGATATATAAGCATTGTGTTTTATTTGTTTTCTCTGTAGGTTATGCGCTTGTTGTACACAGATAATGGGCTGGCACTTTTGGCTCTCAGCTCCAATGATGTTCATAAGCTGTGGAAATGGGAGCATAGGGACAAGAATCCACGTGGCAAGGTTAGATAGGACCACTAGCTTAAGATTTCAACACTGTAGTTCTGTTTGCTGTTTTCTAAAAACCATCCATCATTACTTTTCGTTAGTCATCCAAATTTGTTCCACCTGTACTATGGCAACCGAAAAATGGAATTCCAATGACAAACGACACCATTGATGGCAATGACCCTAAAGAAGCAACAGCCTGCACTGCACTATCCAAAAAGGACCACTATCTAATTTCTGCTTCTGGTGGCAAAGTCTCATTGTTCAACATGATGACATTCAAGGTATGTCTTCTTCAGTTGTCTATAACAATAAGTAGTTAATTCCATGATTGATCTCTTACAAATCATGCATGACAACTTCCGCGTAGTTGCACCATGGCCTTTCTTTGGCTTCACTGATCTTGTGCAATCTCTCATATATAGGTCATGACTACTTTCATGGCACCTCCACCTGCTGCAACTTTCCTTGCAATCTACCCGTTTGACAATAACATCATAGCTATTGGAAGGGAGGACTCTTCAATTCAAATCTACAATGTCCGTATAGGCGAAGTGAGTATCCCCTGTTTCCATGAATCTCAGAGTATTGGCAAAACTCATTATATATGGTTCTCACTAGAAATTCAGTAATGTACCCATTGTAAAATAATGTGCTCTCGTTTCAGACTATATATCCCCTCATGTTTTACTTATGTATTAGGATCATGAGATTGTAAATGTTGTTTTACATATGATCTTTTTGACATAACAAATTATGTACTTTTTGCGGGCTTTGAGCAGATACCACAAGGTACACATATTACATAGCAACTTTGTGGTAGCTCCTGTCAACAATATGAAGAGTAGTAAGTACCTCGTGGTATATGACCCAAAAAACCTTCATAAACCATACATATGTTGTTAGCTCGACATTTAAAAATTTGAGAATTTTTAACGATAATGGATTCTTCCTATGTGGAACATTATGCTTAGTATACTAATTACCGTTTAGTTTATATTTAACATTGATGTGCCAAAATATCAACTTATCTTAATCGAATTGCACAGGTTAAAATTGTGCTCACGGGTCATCACAAAAAGATAACTGGACTAGCATTTTCGCAATCAATGGACATGCTTGTATCTTCAGGTGCTGATGCTCAGGTGTGAATTCTAATATATATCAAAATTAGGACTAGCGATTATGGTTTTGCTTATAAATTTAAGGGATGTTGAATTAAATATAGTCAAATGTTATGTGTTGGTGTTTTGTGAACCGACCAGTAAATTTAGTGCCGCGCAGCTCTAGGAATCGATGGAAGCACTCAAGACATGGGGAGATTATCTCTGTTTTGGGCGAGCCCTACCGTCTCGAGAGGGGTTTGGTTTGAGTTCAAGTGCTCGATTTGGCTATTTACAATGTCATAAGCGGGTTCAAGTGAGAGGACTCGAGAATAGATCGATCCCTCCGAGCCATAAAGAGTGTTTCCTTTTTTTCTGTCCGCTAGAATGAAGGCCCGGTTCCCTTATGCTTCCGGGGGCCGAGTGACAATTGAAAGGAAAGGGTTCCCACGACCCTAGTGGTCGAGAGCTCGAGGGGAGGGCAGCGGTAGGAGAGCCCGGTCCATGGGCCCTCTGCATCTTGTCCTAGCTTCTGTTGCATGCTCGGATGTCGTCACAGGTTCCTGTTCTCCACGTCGAGGTATGGTGCGCCATAGCGTCACAGTGCGGGTCGTGGCTGGTATGGTGCGCCATAGCGGCATAGTGCGGGTCGTGGCTGTCCTTTTGTAGTCCTATGGGACGTGGGTGCATAGTGCGAGTCGTGGCCTTCGCCCTTGCGCCTACTGCCCCCGGGGGGCGTCGTGCACTAGTTTGAGTCTATGGCTGTCGTCCTCTGCTGATCGGGCGCCCTCCTGATCATGAAGGGGGCGGCGAGGCTTCATCCCACACATGGGTGGTCAGGGGTCAACTTGTTTGTCCAGTTCCGAGGAGTCAAGTCCCTGGACGTGAGACCCGTGCTCTGTGGCAAGCGTGGCCGTACACCCGCCCGTCGAGTCATACAGTGTTTGAGCGGTCCTGTGCCATATCCTGACATTGCCTGGCCACGGAGTGGCCTTTTGAATTGGTGGGGGTGCAGTCCGAGGGGTGATGCCTCACCCCAAGACCCTACGGTCCGAAGGGTGGTCGATGCATCCTAAGGCCCCATGGTCCATTGGGTGGTCATCGTTGGGTGTGCGGTGTGTGCACATCTCGTTGTGGCAGGTGTATTGAATGCGCCAACCTCCCCTGGTCTTATCCATTGATGGTCAGCCTAGGCCCAGGGTGGTTGAGGTCGTGCCTCGTATCCCAACCCGACTGCGTGGTCGGGTGGAGCGAGTGGTCGAGGCCCTACGCGGATGATGGGCCATGGCCTACTGGGCCACGAAGTGCGCTTTCCTCCGGCGTAAGCCGCGTTGTGGGGCAACAGGGGTATGCTCCCCGACATTATGTTAGTCGCATTTTATACCATCCATTAGTCCATTTTCTAAAATATATAAAGATCTATAAATACACTCCACTTTGTAAAAGGTATAAATATCTAAAAATACAGTATTGTTTCTTTCTGAATCATTCTTTTCTTGTTTTTTTGCAATTAAATGAAATTTGCAGCTATGTGTTTGGAGCATTGATGGTTGGGAAAAGAAGAAATCAAGATACATCAAACGTCCATCTAATGGTTCCAGTGCTTTAGTTGGTGATACAGTGGTGCAGTTTCACTATGATGGAAGGCATCTTTTAGTAGTTCATGAGAGTCAGTTGGCGATCTATGATTGGCAATTGGAATGCTTGTGCTCAGTAAGTCATTCACACATTTTCATAACAATATATTTGCATCCCTTAGTAATCATATGCAGTCTTGTCTATTGAGTCGGAGTACTAACATATTACATGATTTACATCATGCTTGTAGAATGCTCCTAATCGTATCGATGCATTATAATAAGCACATTACACATTGATATTTAACCTTCCATAACTTGACAATGCAGTGGTTCCCAAGAGATGCACCCCCTTCCCCAATTTCAAGTGCGGTATACTCACTTGGTTGTTTGTTGGTCTATGCTGGATTTCGTGATGGTGCAATTGGAATATTCGATGTAGAATCTCTTACGTTAAAGTGCAGGATAGCACCCTCTGCCTACATACCATCTTCAATATCCAGGTATGTGGAGTTTCAAGCAGTACCTTTTTTTTGTGGGTGGTAGTTTCAATTCTGGTAACCAACGTCTTGTTTCTGTTACCTCTCTTGTTCCCAGGGATGGTGAAACTGTCTATCCCACAGTTGTCGCTAGGCATCCGTGGAAGCCAAACCAGATTGTAGTGGGCATGAGCGATGGTGCAGTTCTTGTGCTGGAGCCGTTGGATACAGACGACGTACAAGTGGGGTGGGACGTCACCTCAGAACAACATCCATCCCGTGATGTCAGCAGTACCAGACTCAGTTAAATATTTTGGCTTGGCCGCTAGATACATATTCAGTCAAGTGGAACTGATTTTTTATGCACCCATCTAGTTATGTGTACACCATCCATCGTCAGATCTCCTCAAGATCTATATATCTAAGACTAGTGTTTTCATGTCGTTGAGGACTTCCTTATTTTGTAATAAATATGCACGTTGCTAGTGGGTGAGACATTTCCCTCCCCATCTCTCTTCTTCTTCTTTTCAAAAAACTTAATTGGATAGTGGGCATTGTATTTTCTTATCTTATTATATACAACGACCTTGGGACAATGCTGAGTATCAGCCTACCCAATTCTCCAGTCAAGTTGGCTTAGGTTGAATTGCAATTGCAATACTCTCGTTTTGTGAATGATGTGAGATTTCGACATGCATTGTAAAAACTCGTTACTAGTGGAGAAAATTGTCCTTGGATATCGTGACGATATGCAAACTAACTTCACTTGTAACGAGTTAGTTTGCATATCATGACTTACTAAAATAATTATGAGAAAAGCATTCAGGTAAAGAAAAAATACAAAGGGAAATGAGAGTGACAAAATATTTTTTGTTACTAGGATCGTGCCCGTGCGTTGCTACGGGCAAAACAAACAGCGATAATGGCATACACTGTCTAACGCAGAAGTCAAATCATCATCAATAAAAAGAAACTGTTTATATTTCATTTCTAATTAATGCAACCCATCAAATTTTTTATTTGACCTAGATCCATTTGCAAAGGAAAATAAACATAACATATGCAGATAAGATGCCCTCGAAAAAATCTCTTGTATATTAATCAACATGTCAATTGTCTTGCATAGCCATTTTCACGCTTGGCAGGGACATAAGACTCCATGGGGTGTAAGAAGACTATGCATAGCTTGTCTGCACCAGAACATGCACGCTATTCAAATTTTTTACAAAGCCAACTGCGTGCAGACCTGGAGTGAAAGAAACAAAACACATAAAAGTGCTTCTGCAAAAAAGGGTGAATCAAGCGCTGCCTATTATTATTTTTCCAAATGCAGACTTCATGTAAATATGGTGAAACGAAACACAACACATGTAAGTGCTACTGCTACTAAAGTATGATAATCAATAAATTACAATATCTGAAAAACCATTCTAGGCTTCTAGCAGTGTTATTGTGTCTACTGCATCAAAAGTCAAAGCTGTCTTCTGCTTCAAGACAATTTTCAGATAAGTTCACCAAGTCATGATAGCACATCGACTTGCCTCAATGCCTCCTCATCATTGCACACATCCAGGGCATGCCCTGTCCTCATCACACATCTATATATGCATGCAGTTCAGCATGGCACCCTTGTGGCCTAGCATCCAAAGGCGCCATTGCCTCGCCACTCCCATGCCCATGGCCATCCAGCACACCAAGCAGTACACACCACCGGCTGGTGGTCACTATCCCCGTTGCCCATGGCCATCCAGATCCAGCACGCTGAGCAACATGATGGATGCCCATTTGTGCGTATCTTTAGCTTCAGGGCATTCCTTTGACCGGCTTACCTGCAAAGGTCAAGCGCATCAATTCAAGCCCAGGGATACAAGAATGAGACAAAGGAAAATGTCTAGTTATGCTTAAAGCCCAGATTTCCTAAACAGTTACATACACTAAACTGAAGGATCAGTCATTTTCTCAGAGAAATTGTGATTCAGCTTTGGTAATAGACTTCATAACTACAATTGTGCAAAATATAGATGTCACCTCATTTGCCGATCAGACATGTAACAAATTCAAAGTCTCTCTAAGAAAGATTAAGTCCACCCAACTCTCTTTCAAACAGACTTTGCCAATAAAGAATAATGTCTGCAGACACCGCTGAATCTCAGCAAAAGAGACTTTGCGATCATCTTCGATGCAGTCTACCTACCTACTACCTACTCTAATGGTACTCATTTGTCAATGCTCAATATAAAATGGTTTATTTAACTTGAAGGGGGAAGGTGTCCGAGGGTAGCTAAGAAAGTTCAGAGTTCTGAAACTCTGCATCCAAACATTCTGCAGGCACCTAGGATGATTTGAACTCACCCAGGTAAGCTTTCTTGATCTCTACTTGTTGACTGTAAACTAAAAATTATAGTTTAGAAGGAAAAAGACCCGCATGGTATGAGACGTTGTAGCATCATACTGAATATAATCCAAGGCTCAGCATTAATTAAAGGAAATAGCAACCAAAAGAAACTACTTCTGGTTAATAAAAAAGTAGAAAAAAGAAACTTGCCGGTGCTGGTTATATCTCTAAATGCACTGCACCCAATGGGAGCTGCCATCATACTACTGGAGGATTGTTGTTAACCAGAGGCAACCCCTAAAACCAGCACGTCATAGTTCAGGCATATTCCAGTATTGTAGATTTGTGGTCAGACATGTTTTTTCCAGAAAAAGAACATTGCATTACAGTGATTGAATTTTGAGAAGGAGGGTTGTCTTCCAAACATGACTCAGATCCTTCAACATCATATGGGAGAGAATTAGGTGAAGGATGTGCTAAAAGATAACTACCTCAAATATAGGACTCAGACTATATCTTCAATCACTAACAGATGAAAAAAATTCAAGGAAAGTTCCAAATGACCAAATGAGAATCGTATAAACATAAAGGCATGACAAAATAAAAACACACAACAAGTATATATCGACTAATGAATGAAAGGATAAATATTTTAGAAGCTAAATACCACTGTAAAAGTTGGTGGCCTACTGATCTGTAATGCTTGCAAGTTACAGATTATGTGCACTGACATGATACTTGCCTATGAAATAGTTCTATTCTAGATTGAGCTGCCCAATGTTCTATAGAAAAAAAACTTAATTATTCTATTCCAATCAAATTGAAAAGGCTAGTGATCCATGAATAAACATTTTTATATGTAGGAAAAAGTGATGATAAGCCTAGCCTAAGAAAATGTATAACATTGGGGAACAAGAGCAGTCTAGGAGAGGCATGAGTTCCGGTACAAATCCTTAGTGTGAATAGAGAAAGCTGTAGGAAAGCCATCTCTTCCTTGCCTTCTCATTACTCGACTCTGTCAGAGGGCGTGTACCAACTGTCGTGTTGTTGCTTTAATAATAATAATGGGTTTTCTGAACAAGGAATTGATTGCTAGCTGCTTGTCGCTGTTTAACCAGCAACTGTTTTCCGAGCTCCCGTACGTTCCATTCAGTAGGAGAAGCAGTGGACGTGTTACGTTGGTTGACAGTATATATACATACTCCTAATATATTGACAGAGCACCCAACTATGGTACGGTGTAGAGAGCCTTTGGATCGGAGTTTTCCCAAGGTCTCAGGCTCTCAGCCCGTACAAATCACTCATAGTCATAGGTAATAACGTTGATGCTACTAAAATGATACATTAACATGATTGCATTTCCTTCGATCCGTTCCTAAATTACAGTCCATTCTTCTGTCGTTGTCATAAGTCAAATTTCTGTCAAGTTTTGCCACGCTTAGCCAAACTTAATTATTATTGAATATGAGCGGACCAAAAATGTACTAATTAGGAGACCATACATGCAAGCTGGTAGACCAAAAATGATACTAAATCAGTTCCAAATTATAAGACGTTTTGGATTTTCTAAATACATTGCTTTTACTATATATCTAGACATAATATATATCTATATGCATTGCAAATACACCATATCTAGAAAAGCTAAAACGTCTTATAATTTGGAACGGATGAAGTACTAATTAGGAGACCATGCATGCAAAGATCAAACAAAAAAAAATGAGCGGGCCAAAAAAAGGATAGAATTTTTATCTTTTTATTATTAATTAGGTACTAGGTAGCGTGCCCGTGTGTTGCTACAGGACAGCTAAGTTTTTGTACTAAAAATACATGGATCGCACGATAAGATAACAATACTATAAAATTAAATACCAACATTAAAGTGATATTTAATCCAAAATGCAAAGTTTGTGAAATTAACACAGTCACGGAGCACGGCATCGCAAGCTCACAAACTTTACTATATAAACTTTTTCGTGATGCGACTAAGATAATGTTTTATATCGGCAGAAAGAAATCTCCGATATCTATTTCTTTCATACGCCAATAAATCCACGAATAAGTTCTGTCACATCGTCATACCATCATGTACACAAGTTTGAGTATATATGTAAATATTAGTTCGTGTCACATGGGTAATACTGCGTGTCTTAAAAAATCTTTCACAATACCTTAAGTATGCTATACTCACCGTATAAATATGTGGTTTTAGGACTATTTCACGCAGACATATACCGTAGAATAAGGTATCCACTTGAGTGTCTATGGCAAGATTCACCATCAGCAATATATAGAAATAGTTAAATCATATGTATTATTATTGCAAGCGACGGGTAAAAGTAAATTAGAGGTTATCATAATTGTACATTTGATTCTTCCTAGTTTTTAAAGATGATGATGTCCAAGGTAAACTTCAAAATATATCATTTTCATGCATTGTGTCTGGGTGCAAGCTAATTCACTGTAAAATAATAATAGGAATTTTCTCTCTTAGTTCGAAATTATAAGACATTTTAGTTTTTCTAGATATATTGTTTTAATTATGTATATCTAAGCATATAAAAAAGTTATGTATCTAGAAAAGCCAAAGCGTCATATAAGTTGAAATTGAGAAAGTAATTTTCCGTAGATTCATTGGTCCACTCTGAATTAGTTAGAAACACTTTCACAAGGAGAAATTATCTGCTCAGAAAACCAGAAATTCAAGTTTTGCCCCCCTATTCAGAGTGAACATTCTACGTTTCCTGATAAAAGCCGAGTAGTGTTGTGATAGCAAACCGCAGGTGAGCAACTGATCTAGGTGACCTTATCTTCAATAATAAGCCACTAAAATGATGAAGAAGATACATGGGGAGAAAAAAAATTAAATCGTCCAGTCCAGCCTTCTCACGGCTAGACGTGATAATGTCACCAATTTCGGCATCTAGTCCAGTAAGCCCTCCGCACTACAAAAAGCTGAGCTAGATCAATTGT